ACTTAAATGATGCATTGTTCAGGGATCTGGCTTCCCACGATTGGGCGTTAAAATAACTAGTTATGAAAATAAATAGTTAGAGATAAGAGATGATGCAAAGGATGTTTTTTCAAAGCGAAAAATTTCATTCAATTTACGGCCAGCTAGAACACTTAAATCTCTACTGGAGGTCCGTGTTGAATGACTATCCAAGTTTTAATCATTTCCTGAAAAGCTACAAATATGAGGCATAGTAGTCATATTAATAAATAGGTAATTTATGGTCAATAAATATTTGGACTAATTTTAAATTTCAAATCTCAGTTGAAAGTCAGTGTATGATCACGATACAGTTTTAAACCGTTGGACTTCAAGCAGAATTTATCATAATATCATTATCATATCATTATTATATCGTTATATAAGATATAGTAGCGATATTAATATGTAGGTAATTCATCGTCAACAAATGTTTGGACTAACATTAAATCTCAGTTGAAAGTTAATGTCTGATCACGATACAGTTTTAAATCGTTGCACTTCAAGCAGAGTTTATCATTATATTATTGTCAAAAAAAGCTTATCATTAATCGAAATTTTGACTAATTCTAAATTATAGAAGTGTTCTGGATGACTCTATAAGTTTTATTCATTTTCAGCAGCTATGGAAAGGAAATTCAATTTTTTACTACTCGGAAGCTCTTGCTTTGAGAATTTTATGTCTACGATTTTTATTTTTATTTTTTTATTTATTTATTTTTGAGTTATTTCCTTTCTTTCTCTCTCGTTTTACTCGTTTATACCCAATTTTTAACACCTTCTTATATTTCCTGGTTTGTAATTTCCCTCTCATTATTTCATTGTTTCTTTTTTTTCTTAATTAGTGTACATGTTATTAGCTTGATTCTTTGAATGCTTTACTATGGTCTCATTTCTTAGCCCAGTATTGGTTTTATTTTATATCCGTCGTTGAGCAACTGACCCAATTTTTGGGTTCGCTACTACTAATTGTCTACTCCGTAGCCTTGTAATTCTGAACCAATCCAGCAGACAAGGAAACTGCTGGATCAGTACCCCCAAAGGTATTGATTTGTTATGGGAACATGGAGGACTTTACGACTCAACAGATTTAACGCGCATCAGTCACCACACGGGTAGTATACGGTCGGCAGGGATCGAACCCACGAATTTTCTTACATGGGCCCAGTGCTCTCTACTGGTTGGCATTGTTGTATTTATGTTGTAATAAGTGCTTGTAACGTTAACTTTCTGAAAATTTCTTTAATTATTCGAATGTGCTTTGTAACGTTTTATATCGAGTCAGTGGTCTTTTATGAAAAACAAAATAGTTTGCACTGTGAAATTCTACGCGATTTTGTACATTCTAAGCGATTGTCAGCGCGATTAAAATATCAGAAAATTTTAAAATCATAATAATTGTATTTTAAATTTGACTGGTATGGAAGTTTTATCTATTTATCGAGCTCAATTTAGCTTTATTTTTGTTTTTCTGTCAATTGCCGAGGACTAAATACCCCTAAGGGTATTTAGTGAGCAAGTTTTCGGTTTTCGTGATGCGACAATATACCAAAATTAATTAATTTTTTCATAAAAATAAATAAATAAAAAAAAACACTCAACTATAATTAACTTGGGGAAAATATAGAGTTTAAAATATGATTTTTAAATTGTCTTTAGGTATTTAAAAAATTTCTAAAAATATTTCTTGCATTGATTGCACACTTAGCATTTCATTATTAGTTTTCCATGCTTCTGTTATTTGCAATGACGTTTGGGTTCAATTAATTCATTAATTCAATTAATTGAATTTTTTATTTTCCGAGAAACTCTACCGGTCCATATTAAAAGCTCCGTGATCCATAGATCGCCAGAATCCGTATCTGTAGTGCTGGAAGTACGGTTTTCGTTACTTTTACATTCAAAATTTGCGAAAGGAAGTCTACGGATACTCATTTCTATATTTTGCGTAATAAAGTTAGGAATGAATAAGTAAAAAGAAATAAATTCAAATGTCTGAAATTTTTTTTAAAACCTGCTATTAAACAGCTTAAAAATATTATAAAAAGCATTTCTACCGCAACTATAACTTCAGGTAAGATTATGCAGATGGCGCTACCACAAACACGTTTCGAAGATATATTTCATTAATAAAGAATAACAATGGCTAGAAAGGAACTAACTGTATGTTAACATTTAAGAATTCACTTTATTTTTAGTTTAATAATGTATACGTTTCATGTGGCTTACTAAATATAGTAATCTTTTTCTCATTTATGTCGGGAAGCAACAATGATAATGATAAAAATTCATTTTTCATTCAATTGCTTTTATTTAAATTTTAATCTTTCGAATTAATAATGCTCAATTAATTAAATAAATTTTAACAAAATTAAATAGTGTAAATAATTAATTTTTTATCTGGAACTATCCTCGGATTTAAGAGCTAAACAATTTTTTTCGAAAGTTTTGATTGAAGCAGAATTTTTTATTAAACAAATATTTTTTGTACTCTTTTCATTATTTTGTATTAATTTTGGTTAAAGTAAATGAAAAAGATTATATTAAGCATTTCATTAATTTGCGGTAATGAAATACACAAGGAAACACCGGTATGTTTTTCTGCGTTAAAAGGAAAATCTTCCAAACTTTCTAATTTGCTGTTATTTTGATCTAAGAGAAATAGATATCCACCATTGAAATTACTTTATTTACAAAATCGATAATTATTAGATAGCCTATTTTAGGATAGCCCTTTGAATCATTAAAATGTGAACGTCAGATTGCTTAAAAATACCCTCATAAGTAACTAAATCGTTAAAGTAAAGTTTAGAAAGTCATTTTTTTAGCCAAGATATGCGAGATCCGAGTATATATAACGCAAGCATAATGTTTTTATTTTATTTTATTATATAACAGTCGTTGAACAGCCGACCCACTTTTGGGTTCAACACCGTAGCCTTGCAATTTTGAACCAATCTAGAAGACAAGGAAACTCCTAGATCAATACCCCTAGAGGTATGATTTGTCATAAGAACATGGAGGACTTTGTGACCCGACAGATTTAACGTGCGTCAGTCATTATTTACTAAATGGGGAGTCTTTGACCGGGGGGATCAAACACACGACCTCTTGGACATGGGCCCAGTGCTCTATTAATCCTAACATAATGCTGTGCCCTAACATAATGTTGTACATTTAAAAAATGTTATAAAATTTTTAGGAATGCGGAATTGAATTGAAATTGATTGAGAATGGGCATCGATTAGTTTAATACCACCCATATCTGCGTCAGAAGGGTAAAATAGCTTCAAAGATATACCGAAATACACTAAATATAATATTAAGAGTAAGATGACGAAATTTGCTAAAATTCTATTTATCATATACAGGATAGTATTTTTCGAACTGTGGCTACCCCCTTCTTTTCGAGAGACATAAAACCAAATTCATTGAAAAGGCAAAAAAGTACGCTTATACAGGAGAAGTGCTTCTTTGTGTCTGATTTCGAAACTTAAAATATTGTCTGAATAAATTAATTAGTCTATTTTTGAGATAGCCCTTTGAAGCGTTAAAAAAACATCCTCTTATGTAAGGAAGTATTTGAAGAAAAGTTTAAAAAGAATGAATTCTTTTTTAGCTAAGATATGCTAAATTCCTGGTACATATATCGCTAATATAATGTTTTATATCCGTCTTTGAACAGCCAACGCAATTTTTTGGGTTTACGACTACTAATATCATGGGAGAAATTAGCCTTCGCGGAGGATTTTTAATAGAACTAACCCTCACCTGCGTTACATGGAGAGGAAAACCTCGAAAACTGTTAGCTTGACAGTAAGGGGACTCAAACCCATGATCCGTCTACCTCTGAGGATATTTTACATCGGCACAGTGGTCAGTGCAAGAAGGATGCGGAATTCGCTTTGACCAGCCATCGCTGGGATTCGAATCCGGTTCACCAAACTGGAAGTCGAAAGCTCTATCCCCTGAGTCATCACGGCTCCTAACATAATGTTCCACTTTTTAGAATTTTTTTTAGGTATGCGGAATTGAATTGAAAATCGGCATCAATGTGTTTAATACCACCCATATGTGTCAAGAACTCTAAAGAAAATAAATAAATAAATAAATTAACGAAACGACTCTAAATTCAAAGTATGAATATTGCTAACATAAAGGAGATAATTTTGCGATTTATTTTTGTTGACAAAAAAAAAAAAACAATCTTTGTTTTTCATCCTAGCCATACAGGGATTAAAACCGTTAGTTAAAATCTTAGTTTTAGTCTTGCAGTTTTGCTTACTGTACGATAGCGCAATCATTTTTTCAAATCATTACACGATTATTTTCTATGCTTCCTTTTTTTTCAACAATTATTTTATGATTTCGAACTCTTGGTTTTGAACATAAAACTGAGATTTTATTTTATTGTGAAATTCATATTCTACCAAATTATTATATTTCTTTAGATGTAATTTTTTCGGCAAGTTAAGTTGCCAGACATTTGGGTTACTTTAGTTTGAAACGTTTCCACACTTAAATATTTTCTCATTAAAATTTTTAAGATAAAAACATTTTAAGATTTTTCTTTTGAGTCGTAATAGCTCAGAGGGCAAAACGCTCGTTTTCCAGTGAGTTGATAGAGGTTCGAATCAACTGGTCGTACGAATTCTGCTCTTGGCTCGCCTCGACCGTAAAGCTACCGTAATTATTTTATATAATCTTTTCCTTAGTAGCATCAGTGTTTGTTAAAATAAATGAGATTTTTGGTTCAGATAACAATACATATCTGCTTAAAAGACAGACGTCTGTCTTAAAATGATAATATTTTTCTGTAAAATAATATTTTTCGTACTGTTACACTATCTGAAAGTTTTTTCCTTAAATTCTACAGAGTTTTTTACAGTGCTGTAATTTGGCGCACATAAAAATTCCAATATACTGTACTATGTATTTGTTTTACTTTCTAATAAAGAGAATTTTAAAAAAATGCCCATATATTGTGAAATAAGAAGGATTATATATTTGCCATATTTTATTATTATTAATAATGATAGCTGCAAACAGAAAAAAAATCTGAGTAAAGTGAAAAAAAAATCCTTATTATTAGTACAAATAAGGCTTTCAATGTTTAGTACAAGCTGACAGCAAATCAAATGGTAATTGACAGTCCTCCATCAATAGGTATTGTTACTCCATTGATCATGGATGCTTTGTCACTCAACAGGAATAGGACTGGGTAACTAATATCTTCCACTTCTGCAAAATAAGATAAAAATAATATGTATCACATTTTTGAACTGTACGAAATGATGCCTTAACATACAGGTCATCCTGGGTTACTTAAGCCACTGGTCATTTTGCTGGATAAGTTTTTGATGCTGATTTTAGAATCACGTTGAGTTTGCTTTTCACATTTATGTTCTGAATCGTCTGTTTTACTGTGCTCCTTTTTTACAGTGTCTAAATTCTTAAAACTTCATTTATATTTAAAATTGTTTTATCTTAAATCTGTGCTCTTGAAAAACATATCAAGTGCTTGTTGAATTTTATATTAGTTATTGATTTTAAATATTCATTGTCAAATAAATTAGGTATTGATTATATGAAGAGCTTCGTGCAATATAATGATAAGTATTATCTTTAAATGGCTCTGGAAAGTACTTTTAAAGAGCTTTTTTAGTGATAACTATGACTTCAATACTAAGGTTCGATGAGAAGTATTACATTTTAAAAAGAGCGGTTTATCACTGAATTACACCAAACCTTCCGTATGCTAAATCAAGCATTTAATGTTTTTTGTTAAAAAAGTGCAAAAGAATTCTTTTTTTTTTATTTTTATCTTTTTTGCTTATAACAACTGCACAAACAATAGATATCGCGTTTAGATTAGGCGCTAATACTCGTCGAATATAGAAAGATAAGGTACTTCTTTTCTTATTGTACAGATTAAGAAGTTTAATATTTGTTTCGAATTAATATGAATTGTAATGTCTGATATTTGTTTTTAACTAAAAATATGCAGTAAATACTAAATTTGAATTCTTTTTAAGTGAACAATATAAATGCTTACCATTATATCTTCCAAGGGGCAACTTTTCTTTCATTAAAGTTGCCACTGGGTTACCTGGATTAAGGAAATTTTCCGTCATTCTTGTGTGTACAACGCATGGGTTAACTGAATTAACTCGAATCTAAAATTTAAACAATATATAACGTAATATACATATATATATATATATATATAATTTTATGTTTACTATTATAAGCCAAGCACTACAGACACAAATTAATTTAAATTTATTTCAATGTTATTAAGGTAAATATTGTTGCTATGATGAAATTTTCATAAATTGAATATTTTAATTTAATCTTTTNCAGAAAGATATTAAATAAATTGACTAATATATATATATATAATGTTTAATTTACTTTACTTGTAAATTGCTTTTAAAGTTTTATTCGCTTTGTTACTCGCCCAGTAATAGCTTTAGATTGGCTTTAAATATTTCTATCTTTAACAATATAAATGATTGGTAATCTTAGATTAAGAAAGGTTTTCTTTCCCAGATTAGGAAAAATTTATAACCTTCTTGGATTTTACGCAAAATTTTTAATTCATGTTTTTTTAATATTCTTTGTACTAAACAAACTCCTGATGATATAGTATTATTAGACAGCACAAAAACTTACAAGACACTCAGAAAATAAAAGAGTCACTATATTAGATTAACAGAAATATCGCTTGATAATATTTAAAATTTCAATGGATTTTTCTCAAACCTTTATAGCAATAAAATGATACGATTTGGGTTTTTGATTAATTAAAAGTACACGTTTGTCAGCTTTTAGATTTTTTTTAAAAATCTAATTTTATTACAATTTAAACTGATGAAAACCATTTGGATGATACTAAACAATTCTTTCAGCATCTATTACATAAAATAGAAAATATTAATAAAAAGTTTAAAAACAGCAACTTTATTTAACTACCTATCAAAAACTATTGATTGCAGAATTGTATTGTCAAAATTTTGCCAAAAAAAAGTTAATAAGGAATCTGAAATACCGCATGCTTTATATCTTAAATAGCGATTGAGTGCCGGTCTTGTATTTTACATGTATAGAAAGATACTACAAAATAGAGTAAATATCCCTTATTAGTTTGTTTGTGAAAATTAAATAAGGAGGGTAAAAAGCATATTTAGATTTTTATCTTCCCGTTTCCAACTCTGGGACTATTAAGTTCGACCAGGAGAAGAAGCCTTATCTACTCAATTTTTATCTTGCTTATGCAGTCTTGTTTTATTTTAGGCATTTTGTATTTTTTTTCATATTAAACTAAATGCTTTTTCTCGTCTACTTTAACCTTAAGTTCCTTAGCGTAGGTTTAAATTGAAATTTTGTGAGCACACAAATAAATTTATTTACTTTGAAAATATACTAATATACATAAAAAAAGCTAATCAACGTTCTCTTAAGACTAAAAGATTCTACTTCCTTACATCAACCAACGAAAACTATGTATACACAATTTAGTCATTTCTCGAAGAACTAATTAATATTTTGAATACTTTCGCGTTTTATTTTATTCCTTAAAATATTTTCATAAAATTCTAAATCCATAGTTTTAAATTTTAAGGTGTAAGCATTTTTAAAACTCAAACTTTAAAAAACAATTTGGACTTTGAAAAACTTGTAAAATTACTTCTAACCTTGAAATTTAAAATTTGTTAATGATAGACCACATGTAAATAAACAAAAAGAGACAAAAAATATTTAGGGATATGTATTAGTTACTGAATAAATAAGGAAATTGCTTTTATATGACATCATAGGTGATTGGTTAACATCGAAGGTCAACATCGTATATTAACATACACTCTAAAAAATTCCGGATCAAATTACGGTAAAAAGCACCGGCACTCAAGGTGCCAGTATTTGTTACCATAAAATCCGTTTTTACCGATACATGTTACGTAACAAAAAAATCTGATATATTGTAATTTTTACAGTAATAATTACGGTAAAATTACTGAATCACTATAATTAAATAAATATTTCTCAGCATGAAAGTTTACGGTAAAAATGAATTTTACGGATGATGCACCCAAAGTGCCGGTACCTTATACAGTAATTTGATCTGGAATTCTTTGTAGTGTTGAGAAAGTTCAAGTGTTGGAATGAAAAATTGGTTAACATCGCAATATGCTTAATATTGTATGTTAGTTGTTAGGATGTCAAATTCTCTCTCTGTTTGAAAGGGATTTTTAACAATCAAATGTGCAGTCATGCAATTACATATGAAAGCATAACACAGATTTGATACTCTGTCCTTATTTAAGGAAAATTCCCGAATGATCATTTAGAGTTATAACAGCATTAACCCTACTCTTCTACAATTATTTTTTGCATTGCATTAAATGGGTTTAATTGATTATTACATTGCTTAAAAGTTTTCTTTCCTTAGCTTCGCTCGTTAAGCTGAAAATGGTTAAATGAGTTTAATTGAATTTAAGCATTTTGGTGTAGTTTTAATGGAGTAATAAGTCAAACCTACTCCAAAAGGACCGAATTCTACAGCCATGTTCCTGGTTAGCTGATCCAGGGCGGCTTTAGTTGCACCATAAATTCCATGATTTGGCACACCTTTTAAGCCTGAAATACTCGATATATTCACTATTGCGCCTCCTTTCCCTCGCCTCTTCATTCCGTTGATAACTTCCTATAAAAGCAACATTTCTTTTTAAAATATATATTATATCCATCAACAATTTCACTCAGACATATTTGCATATATTTTTCAATATTTTGTATTAATTTAGAACAAAATAAGTGAATTTTATATTTTGTATTTAATAATTTCTAATATATGAAATATAGCATGGGGCACCGGTAGCCCCTTCTGCTTTGAAGGTTCTTTCTTCTTTCTAACATGACTCACTTTCTGACAATAATTTTTCAAATTTGCACTTTTGTATAATGACTTAGATCTAAAAAAAAACATTTATTCAAAGTTGAAATTTAGTAAATTTAAATCAATTATTAAAAAATATTTCTGAATATGAATGATAAGTTTTAGTAAAAATACATTTTTACCAGTAATTAGAGTGTCAGAAAAATACATATAAAAGGAATAAAGGAAAAAAAAAACTATATACATGTATATATTTCTCATGGAATTTATGATTTATTTCCTGCCTTATGTGTCCTTGTATGTGCTAGGACATGACCTCACAATAACTGAATCCTAAATAAACATAGTCTCACGAGCGTCACAAGTCATGCTTTGATGTCACTAGGACTGGGCGATATTAGAAATTATATATCGTGATATATCGTCAGTTTTGCATCGCGATATAGCGATGTATCGCGATATAGTATTTTTGAATTTCATTTACTTTAAGGCACAGAAAGTCAGATTTCTATCAAGACTTCATACGCATATTGATTTAAATCAATTTATAAATTTGAAAATATATATGTTTTGCTAAAGAAAGATATTAAATAAATTGACTAAGATGTACAAATCTTACTTAAAATATTTATTGAAAAAATGTGTGTAGATACAGAATGAAATATTTGCACTTCTTT